AAAATTTACCAGGGAGACGTGCTTTCGCCCACGCCATTCAACGTCTACGATTGGCGTAGGTCTATCAATATCTTTAAAGAAATTCTCGATTTTCTTTGAAACATTGCTGACCATCGGAAAGATGAGGGTCCCATTCTAGCCATCAGGTTAAAGGTATCTAGCCATGTACCTTGGTGACGGGAAGCAGGCAGGTGATCTTATCATCGAATTGGGATGGTGAGGGAGGGACTCAGAGTCAGAGCATCAAGCCTTTATTAGAGCAGAAATATACAATGGCAACAGAGAAGCTGATCTAAGCTGTTAGCGTCATTATCATACACATCATGAAAATTTTCTACATGCTTGTGCCCATAATCGTCATTTCACAACTCAGATCACTGTGGAGGTGTCGCTGTTAAATGCATCCGGTCATTTTATTGATCGCACATTCATCTTGCTGTTGTGCGCAGGGGTTAGCGCTTCCAGTTATTTCTTAGCCACACTAATAATTCCGGTCGTTTGCGTTGATGTGTCTTGTAGCTTTCATATGCGGCACCTGATTCCGTTAGTCTGCACGGCGATAACCGCATTCTGTCGTTTTCATAGGACTGAGATGCTTCCGGTGGATTTCAAAATGGCTTACTTTCGTTCGTGTTGCTCTACTTTGCGTGACTACCTACATTTGTATTTGTCTGGCTGCAGCTATTCGCAGCTGACTTAGAATACTGTTTTGGTAATTAGTATGAAAAGCGAACTTTGTCACTTGATTACTTCCATATGCAGCAGCATATCTGCAGAAATCGGTTTCTTGCGTAGCGCCAAGAAGTCAGAAATTATGTAGAACCCTTCATTGTAACAGGCGCAAGACTAGCTAGTTTAATTACGTCACCCCCATCGTCCCCATCTGCTAGAAGGGGTTGCCCTAGCCTGTTGTATTTTGGCAATCTGTCCAATATTTTAACTGAATGATGAGCATCTTTTTTCACAGAAATCCACCTGTACCTTATTTCGGTTAAGTTAGTGTTGCGGTAGCGCATAGAGACAATTGTTCGAAAGATCAAAAGACCAAGAACGACATTTGAACTGTATGTATGTATGTATGTATGTATGTATGTATGTATGTATGTATGTATGTACGTGTGTATATATGCATTCATGTATGTAAGACAGCGTTGGCTTTCAAATGTAATGAGATGTAGAGGGCATGACTGTGTAAGGATTGTCCATTTTCCTAAAAGTAGAAGTGTCCTCCTTAGATGTCAAGATTAAGAATAGAAAGTTAGCTCTGTTATATAAATTGATTGAGTATAAACCCTTTATTACAAACGACATGCTTCTCATGTTGGAACCGAAACTGTAGACGTCGACTAGGAGGCCAGCATCCATTATGTATGTAGATCTCTGATTGGAGGTGAGTTATTGCTTCAGTGATACAGTAACCGGCATCAAGCTTCATTTCACTTTCCATGACCGATTCTCCTTTCGAGTCGCTTAGGCAGGCGCGTCAGGCAGTGCTTCCAGCATTCCCGATTCTGTGCCAGAACTTTAGATTCGGCGGAAGACAACCGGAGCCTAGAGCAGACTCCTTCAGTACACTTGCACCAGGTTAATCTTGGCTGTCTCCTGGGCCTTCTGCCGGTCGGTCAGGAAAGCCTTGTTTCGCCTTCCTTTCTTGAGGTATTCGCAACAAGTCCTCAGTGGCTGTACACCATGGTTCTTTCAGATTTCTTGTAACCGGTGTCTTATAACAAAACTGTTCAAAAGTTGAAAATGCAGGGATATCACATATAAAGATGTATCGCCTATATAAACGGCGCCAGATGATGAATTCGACAAACACACAGACAACATGCTTTTCTTGGAGCACTTGTTCTTCGTTGTTTCCATATCTGAATCACTCGTACAGTTCATTAGTGAAATATATTTTTTGCAAGCCAAGAGAATGTTTAAGAATGCTAAAACTTGTTGCGTATCAGTACAGTGGCAGCATGCGGAATTTACATGTAAATTAAGCTACTTAGTTAATATTAATTTTTGTTTTAGGTTCGAAGCTATTTTGAATGATGAAGCAGAACTTGATAAGGATTTGAACCTTTTTTCGTCCACTGACACTTCGATGTTAAGTATTTGCTTCGGAATTTTGAAAAAGTACTGAAGCAGTTGATTTTGCGACTTATATTATTTGTTTATGCGAGTTATATTCATTCATTCTGATATTTCACTATTCCTTTTGGATGGCTTGATCATCAGTTTCAGGAGGTTCATCAGCTTTCGTGTTTGTTTTGAATTCATCAGTCAAACTGTCCAGATCCCGAGGCGGGACAATGTCAGGATTGCAATATACTGTGCGTGTGGTCACCGGTATGCCCGTTGGTCAATTGCCGAATGACTCTGTGAAGAAAGCCCATTCAGCGAACAATTATTCTGCATTCATCAGAACCTCTGTCCCAGAAAGCAAAACTCATCCCCGGGGTTGCTTGTTCCAGATACTACCAAATGTCTCACATCAACAGTTGTTCAACAAACTTTATTTTTAATCCTTGTACCCGTGATATCTGTTTGTTTTAATTTATTGAAGTTTTTTCTGCCAGTGACTATGTTCATCATAGTAATTATTAGATTTGTGATAATTTAAGTCACTTCAGCTGTGTAACGACAATTTATCAGTAATCTTATTCTCACGAAAACGTAAGTTGATGCGCCAGATCTATTTTACTCGCTCTTTTTTGTTGAGGTTTGATTATATCTTGTTTTCACAAGATTTACTTTTACTTTGCATTGCCTGTACTGGTGCTGATCTCATAACAATTCAAGATATTTGAGCATCACTGAGAAGAAACAACTTTAAAAAATATTTATTTGCCTAGACGTACTTTTTCAGTGCAGCTGGGATGCTGTTCTTGTTTGTAACCTTCATCCAACGGTAAAGTAGTTTTAAATGGTATAAATGGTCTGATTAGTGACATTTAACCATGAATTGTCTCGAATGTATACCAGACGTTGTTGACTACCTTCATAAAGGTCGTTTTCAAAGTTTCAACCGTTTCGCTTTCTATTGCGTCTTTCTAATGGCTCCTCATCGAATGTACGGTTTCCACAAAAAGGTATTTATTTGAGCAAGTTTCCATTTAGTTGTTAGTTGGTCTGTCAGTTAAATCTGTGCAGGAACACTTTTGACAACTTCCAAGCCTGTTTGATATTGAACATATGCTAGTTCGTTGCAACTATACACCACCATGCGTTGGGAGTGGTTAGTGCAAGCACTATTGTTACATATGGTAAATCGAAGCGATTATGTTTTCTTTACTTGATGGATTTTGAGCTTAAGTAGTTAAAAAAGAGATGCTCCAAGTGTGGACGAATTTGGATTTTAGTGTATCTGCTAAAATTTTTCTCTTCTGAATGTAGGGGGAATGGAAAAGTAAGGAAAGGAAAGTTTTTAACCCTTGGAATGTCGGTGTTCTTTACACTTTCAGGATGATGCCATTTGTAGCGCTCTTCGTTTCAAGAAATTAAAGATAGAACGCTGATCTTTATTTCCATGTAATCAGCTAAAAATGCCTTATTGCAAAGGCAGAGTCAACAACACCTACGCCATAAGTATAGCATGTAGTCTCTTGTTTCCTTCCAGCAGAATGGTGCTCATTTTTCAACCTTGGATGAAAGAAAGTCGAGTATTCTGACTTCTGCTAGAATCCGGGACCTCTCAGATTTGAATCCGATGCTCTACCGATTGAGCAATCCGGGTCTATAAAAGGAAATTGCATGTCGACGAGCGTTGTTTATCGGTCGAAAGATGATCAGTTAAATTTTTGTAAGTCATCGTTGTGAACAGTCGTTTGAGGTTTAGATTTTGAGTTCGCTGCCTGAACTTAAAGGATTCTTCTCTTGGTATAGGCAGAACAGTATCGCGGTATAGACAGAACAGTATGCGTAAATGACAGGAAGTAGCGCAAATAAGCGTAGTCGAAAGTATAGATTCAACTGCTCTATCCAGTCTGTTGAATCACAGTCATATGATGAAGAACTGAATTTGTTTTGCGTGAAAATTTTAAAACCTTTGCTTAATTAAAATGTCATAATAACAGTGAACCTTTATTCGAGGGAGTTATGACATTGTTTACGGTTATGCGAGTTATTTAAGTTTTGACCTTCCAGATTACGCAAATGCTGTCAAATTTTTTTCCTGTTTCCTGAGATCATTCATACTGCGTTGCCTCCATCCACTCCTTGTGATCTGCGAATTTTCATCTTCGGTTCAGAGTGAGGATCGCATGACGAAAGGCTTTTGCCACACTCTATTGTAGGATAGTTTGAGACTGATATTTCAGCCTTTTTGCTACGGTTTGTAGTCAGACTTAAGTATACTTGAATGAGATCATAAAGAAAACTCAATTTTCAGCATATAGAGAAGAAAAAGAATAAAGCGAATAATGGCGACTACTTGCATGATTATCCCAGTTCAAGAATTGGGCAGAAGCAATTGAACAGAACCACTTTACATTGAACATAGTCAAGTAATGAAGTGGCGAAATGAGTCTACTGTGCACTTTAGCGGGGGAGGGGTTCAAACCGGTGAATGGTGTAATTTTTCTCTTATGAACTACTAATTCCCTTGAACAAGGAAATGATGCAACTGTGCTTCGTTGCTACCAGCCAGAATACTCATGGCCATATCGTTCACCTTCAAATAATACCGAAAGCATGATGTTTTGGTGTGATCATGCCAAAGCGTGAGAGATATACAGCCATGCAGTCTGATCATGCACCTTCCGGCTGTAGTTCATCTTGATCACCTGATGGTTGGCTGAAAATCCTGTTTCAGATAAGCTAGTATACTTGAAGGATCTTGTTTGAGAGAGAAATGGGCGTTTTATCGTAACTGATTATAATTTTATGCTTTACCAATTCAGCGGTGACTCTTCGGTCTTGAAGTGTATTATGAGCGTGCGTAGCGGGAACCATCATAATCCGTTGGTATTATGCACTTTTGTTTATCATTATGAGAATGCTTTGCCAATCATATGTGACCGAGAACATCTGATTTATCAGTTGATGACAGAAAGATAATTCTCTCGACTGACCAGCAATGGGATTTTAGTTGATCTCAACAGAAACCTGAAAACTTCACCGAGTATCGACGATTTAGATTTGAGAAATACGTTACCCCTTATGTATATGAAATACCGGATGACCAACCGCTATACAATTTCACCTAGCATCCCATGTCATTTCTTCAGAGAGTTGAGTTCATATGTGAATCACAACTCAGTATTGCTGTTCTAGTGAGTGTACTATCGAATGCGGATTAAGCGTAAACTGACACTTGTCAGAATTGTTCACATTTTGTAATTTTTTGCGATTGCAGAAAATTTGCGGTACAAAGAAAAAAATACGCGGAACTGTATAAGCAGCGAGAAGCTCAACACACTGAGCTCCGAAAACTACGCAAACTGGTAAAGAGCTACATTATTCTTTTTCATTTTGATTTTGATTTCTTTCTTGTGTGTTTTATGTATCTGACCTGAGAGAAGAACTGAAGGTGACTCGTGCCTTTTCGACACCGTCCCCGTACAATCCGGCTTTGAAATCCATACTGGAAAAAACGTGAGTGCTTGACATACATATTCTTCGAAGAAACTTTTTGTGTTCCTCGGAATTATCCGTAAGTAACCAAAGCTTGTATTTTATTGCATATTGTGGTTGTGTGAAGGAACCAATTTTTGACTGGCTTGCCAGTCCTCTTTAGTCTTTCAATCCAGCCCTTCACTCGAAGTGTACTATTGTGTACTGTAAAATAATGTAAATTTACATAAAATTTTATTGATCATCACTAGTCTTTTTCGATCCGCTGCTGGAAGAAGGCCTCCAAAGACTTTGCCACAAACTTCTGTTTTCTGCGATTTGTAGCCATCTTGATACAGTGAAATTTTTTGGTTATGATCTCAAAAGAGAAAGAGCCGATATTCCAACGACTATAAACTTGCCTTTACTTTCCAAGGGGATCAAAGAAAGGTAGTGCCACAAGAGGCCTCCCAGCATGGCCCATTATGATATGACTGCAACGGAATATTAAGCTGTCCCTGTTGTTCGGAAGTTAGCGACTTGTTACCCGTTTGTCGAATGGTTGAACTTATAACGTGGACTAAATTCCTTAAAGGTAACTGTTGTCCTTCATCGGGACTCGAACCCATAATCAACTGAGTTTGAAAGCAGTCGATCAACACTGAGCAATACACCCCCAAAATTCCTCTATTAATCGTTCTCTTTGTATTCTTATCATTCATTCATTTTAATTGTTTTAGATCAAGTTGTTCACGTGATCGTTCAACCGATGCCGATGTGATTCCCAAGATGACGTCCCCGATGAGCAATCCAGAAAGCCCTCCTCCTAAACGTCGTTTGCTAGAAGCTTTGATAGAAACTCCGTTATGCAATTTCGACAATCTTAAAATGAACATACGCGATGCATTGGGCGAAGAACCATCCTGTTCTGGCCGAAATGAAGAGTCGATCATCGAAACCCCTCCGCTCTTCTCGAGACACAGCAAAAGGTTTGCACAGGCTGTACGTACTCGCGGCAAGCTGATCAATGGATTAATAGCCGAGTCTAATATTTATAAATAAAATTGCATATTGACAGTAACCCTGAACAAAGGTTAATTTTAATTTACTAAAATTAACAAAGGTTAATTTTTATTTTAGTGTAACTTGTTTCTGTCAGTTATCAAACACTAGGATTAACTAGCCTGAATTTGGTGTTGCTTTCGTCAGCACGATAATCGAGTGACACTGTTAACTGTGAATGTCTCTTATATTCTTGTTGTATATTAGGTACGTGCTGAAGAGTTGTTTTATTGAAGAGTATAAAAAGCATGTAAAACGAATTAGGTCAGCGATATGGCATCATCGTTTAACAATGAAGTTGAGCCTTAAACAGAGGGTACATATGGAAAATATAATATATGATTCTTCGGGCAGGTTTCCATGCATGAGACTGAATGGACGTGCTTTCCAATTAAGGCGAAAGTCGGCAGCAGGGCAGAACAGAGCACCGCCATCAACTCGCCAACAAAACGTGGTGGTTGTAGTTTAGCACTATATACCAATCTCCTCGGAGGAGAGCGCGAGTAGGATTCTGCAGATACGTGGTAACGATACAGTGCTCCCTCCTCTTACCTCTGATGACTATTTGCGATCACTCCCTAATCAACAGAAAACGAGTAACGGCAATATTTGCATATAATGCACAGTACACGCCTCCGCCGTTCATAGTGGATCAAAACTATAATTTTAACAGGATGGAATACATGGCTGTGAGTTACCTCACAAATAAACTTCGCTGACACCAGCCTGATATTATTAGCCAGCTTATTGATGAATGAAATCAAAGGGGTACAAATGATGATACTTATCAATAGAATCGGTACTGACTAAATATCAGAAATGACCATCGATACGACCTATGGTCGGTGACAAACACTGATAAGCGATTGTTCGCCAAGCTTAAAAATACGGCACTGAAGACATGAGAATCGGCAGTCTATTTAAGGTTATCTCCTCTCGTACAGAGCTAAATCAATCGGTTTTGATATTGCTAGGGGTCTCAGGTAACCCGAAAAAAATACTGATTGCAAGCAGTTCACTGAGGGACATCAAATGTCATGTCAGCGTAATTTTTTATCGTTATTTTCTGCACATTTGACGTTTTTCCTCCGTGTTGATACACATCGCGCAAAACGTGACTGATTGATAATTAGAATCATACGAGCATCAAGTATTAAAAAATTCAATCATTTTTGAAGCTCGCGTTTTTTATCAGTTAACGAGGGTAACTACTTGAAACAGACAGATATATGAAATCCGACGATATTTTAAACAGTTTGTTTAAAATAACCTAATTTCTACGAAGATATATACTTCGCATTTTACTGCATACGCGGACGTTCAAATTTAAATTAAAACGTCTTAAATTGAATTTTTGCACAAGCGGGTACATAATTCCACCTGGTTATATACCAAATTTTTCTTCTAAATCCTGACAAAAGCGGCTAATCAACAACAGACCTTTTCTTTCCTTCAAATAGACGGATTATCATGAGACTCATTAGTCGATGACTGTTTCTGAGCACTTAACAATGCCTTTGTGGTCACCGCTGCATGTAGGTCGCAGCTAACTTCCTTATCTGAAGATCCATGCACTATATGGGCACCAGCCAGATAGGTAATGACGTTTGTGCATGGCATAAAAATACTTTATCGGAGGATTTTTGAATCTAACGAACTTTGCTTGGGTAATTTGTGCGTGGATGTTAAATATGAAAAACGCATTTTATACTTCAGTATGTGCTAACCATACCACTAGTTAGTGCTTATACAAATCTGAAGCACAACCGTTGGCTGTCTTGCAACAGCAGCGAACGCATAAGGCAACAAAAGTTATGGAACCACTTCGGCATTTAATTAACTGCACTAAAAACGTTGAGGTATATTGACCTTCAGGGCTGTAGAATACAACCAGATAAAAAGGTCAAATTTTAGCTTTTAGTGCATTGTTCACTTTCGCTTATGAAAACTCCTTAATCGCCACTGCAAGAGCTCGTAACATCCTTTAAAGACGGCACTCTAAGCAGCGTTAACTACAAACAAAATCAGAAACAGTTATACTTTGGAAACAACCTGCACGTATCTCAGTACCAGTTATCGACAATGTCCTACAAAAATATCACCCAAAACAATGATTCTGTCTAAGTGCAGAATGCCACTGCATTCATTATGTCACTGTCTACATTAAAGGTATTATTACCTTAAGTCAAAAAGCAGCGTTTATCAAACTGATAGAACCAACAGAAAACCATGACCATCATTTATCGTCTATCTAGTGCAATTACAGGCATGCCACTTACCGTTAGAACAACGGTCACGGTTCTGAACTTTTTATGAATATTCACCCAACGATCTTATAGGAAACCTGCTATGGAACATTATGTACACAAGGTTATACAGAAATGAACAATACATAGCGTACAATGCCAAGACGATCTCTGAAGAAAAAACAGACAGGCAAAGTAGCGCATCTTGATAGGGTGGCCCTGAAAAGGGCCGTTGGGTTTAGAGCGTTTGTTGGCATATGGCTGCTGTCGCGCACAGCAAACTGTTTAACCGCCAAAACCGTACAAAGTACGACCTTGTCGCTTCAACGCATAGACGACATCCATGGCTGTAACGGTCTTCCGCTTGGCGTGTTCACAGTAAGTGACCGCATCACGGATTACATTCTCAAGAAATATCTTCAAAACGCCACGAGTCTCTTCGTATATCAGGCCACTGATTCGTTTGACTCCACCACGTCTAGCCAAACGTCGAATGGCCGGCTTCGTTATTCCCTGGATGTTGTCACGGAGAACTTTGCGATGACGCTTGGCGCCTCCCTTGCCGAGACCTTTGCCGCCTTTTCCACGTCCACTCATTTCAAAATCGAACAATACCACAGCACAAAACAAAAGCAAGTCGATCAACTGTTTATATACCAGTTGCAAACACGACCGCCGAGAAACCGTGCCGTAAACTCGACCGCAGAGAA